TGTGTGTGTGTCCAGGTTAAGCTGTGTGTGTGTCCAGGTTAAGCTGTGTGTCTGTCCAGGTTAAGCTGTGTGTCTGTCCAGGTTAAGCTGTGTGTGTGTCCAGGTTAAGCTGTGTGTCTGTCCAGGTTAAGCTGTGTGTGTGTCCAGGTTAAGCTGTGTGTGTGTCCAGGTTAAGCTGTGTGTGTGTGTGTCCAGGTTAAGCTGTGTGTGTCCAGGTTAAGCTGGTGTGTGTGTCCAGGTTAAGCTGTGTGTGTGTCCAGGTTAAGCTGTGTGTGTGTCCAGGTTAAGCTGTGTGTGTGTCCAGGTTAAGCTGCATGTGTGTCCTTACCTGAGTCCCAGTCCTGTCTCCAGTGGAGTATGATGCCCTGGATGCTGCTGGTTCTAAGATGGCCGCCCTGACCCCAGAGGAACTACAGAAGATGACAGACGATGGAGGGTAGGACTTACAACACTGCTACTGTTGACATGTTCTCGTTGTTGACATGTTGTTGTTGACATGTTTGTTGACATGTTGTTGTTCCAGGTGTCTGAGCGTGGTGCGTCAGTTGGAGACCCTGCCAAGAGAGGGCGTGGCCAGAGAGAAACGGGCGCGCTGTGCCTTCTACCTCCACCTGCTGCTCAGACTGGCACGGCAGAAAAACATCACTCGCAAGTGTGAGTGCCACGCTGTGTGTGTGTGTGTGTGTGTGTGTGTGTGTGTGTGTGTGTCTGCGCGCATTAACGAGAAGCAAGTGTTGTCTTTTTAAAAGGTCATCCTCGCTTGAGCCTTCATCTGTAGCGTTTACAGAGAAATATGATCTCTGTAAACATCAGGGGGGAAACTGCCTTTTAAAAAGGGACGCTGTCGACAACAGGCCTTTGATTGAATCATCCAGAACATTAAGGGTTGTGTTAATGTTGTTTTCCAGTCGGGCAGGAGGAGGGCTGTCCTCGTATCATCCAGACCATTTAAGGGTTGTGTTAATGTTGTTTTCCAGTCGGGCAGGAGGAGGCCTGTCCTCGTATCATCCAGACCATTTAAGGGTTGTGTTAATGTTGTTTTCCAGTCGGGCAGGAGGAGGCCAGTCCTCGTATCATCCAGACCATTTAAGGGTTGTGTTAATGTTGTTTTCCAGTCGGGCAGGAGGAGGGCTGTCCTCATATCATCCAGAAAAAGCTGATGAGGACCTTCACCGTGGAGACCTTCAACAACGGCAGGTAGCTGTATAACTAAACTGGCACCCTGTGCTCTATATAGGGGTGACCTTTGACCCGGGCCCATAGTCTGCTTCTCAAAATGGTACCTTACATAGATACACTGTGTATGGAATAGACCTTTCCTTACTCTGAGGTAAAAACACATGATTTAGTTCAATGCACCAAGCTATATTGGGGAATAGTGTGTGAGTAGGGTGGAGAACGTTGTTGATGCGTGTGAATATACCTACGTGTGTCTGTCTGTCTGTCTGTGTGCGTCTGTGTGTGTGTGTGTCTGTCTGTCTGTCTGTGTGTGTCTGTGTGTGTGTGTGTGTCTGTCTGTCTGTCTGTGTGTCTGTGTGTGTGTGTGTGTGTCTGTCTGTCTGTGTGTGTGTGTGTGTGTGTGTGTGTGTGTGTGTGTAGGGTGCAGAACGTGGTGTCCACGTCGATGCGTGTGAAGCTGGCCGCGTACTGCCTGACCCTGCTGCTCCACATGGGGGACATGACCTCTGACCTCACACTGCTACACAGAGACCTGGGGGTCACAGAGAAAAGGTGAGAGACACTGCTACACAGAGACCTGGGGGTCACAGAGAAAAGGTGAGAGACACTGCTACACAGAGACCTGGGGGTCACAGAGAAAAGGTGAGAGACACTGCTACACAGAGACCTGGGGGTCACAGAGAAAAGTGAGAGGACACTGCTACACAGAGACCTGGGGGTCACAGAGAAAAGGTGAGAGACACTGCTACACAGAGACCTGGGGGTCACAGAGAAAAGGTGAGAGACACTGCTACACAGAGAACAGGAGAGAGAGAGAGAGAGAATCTCCTCTGTAGCTCAATTGGTAGAGCGTGGCGCTTGTAACGCCAAGGTAGTGGGTTCGATCCCCCGGGGACCACCCATACGTAAAAATGTATGCACACATGACTGTAAGTCGCTTTGGATAAAAGCGTCTGCTAAATGGCATATTATTATTATACTGAATCATGTCAAACACAAAAGCAACAGCGTTACTGATCTTCTCTCTCTCCCTGTGTGTGTGTAGGATCGTGGAGGTGGCCAAGTCGATGGGGCTGACCCTGGTCAGACATGCCTGTGTGAAGGGGGACGACGCTGGGCCGACAGCTGATAACAGACTGGCTTCGCTGGTGCTCCCCCTCGTCAAATACCAACCGTTCTCAGAGATACGCAAACGCAAAAGAATGCGGTAGGGAAAGAGAGGAAGACGTTGGTAGGGAGAGAGAGAGAGAGGGGGGGGAGAGGTGTGCCTAAATATGACCTAGGAAGAGAGGGAGATGGATACTAGAGACCCTCACAAAGTATTCTGGAAACAAAATGTAACATTTAAACGTAATAAAACAAAAGTAAATTCAGGTTGTGTGTGATGTCATATCTAAACTGTCTGGAAGAACAGATGAAGTGACTTATTTGGTGCTTGAAAACATTTTAGAAAGCACAGTAATAAAAAAAAACAGACGCTGGTAGACTTTACATATTGGGACATTTCAGTGAGGAGACGAAACAGGACTTTTGAGAAAGAAAGGTGATTTTGTTGTTATTATTAAGGCTAGGAGTTATTCCTAGTCAGGTGGGTCACACCGTCAGGTAAAACTCCAGTCCCTAACCACTGATACCACACCAGTCACAGTGGTTAAACATGGTAAAGTCACAGCTGAATACCGTCCATGATACCACACCAGTCACAGTGGTTAAACATGGTAAAGTCACAGCTGAATACCGTCCCATGATACCACACCAGTCACAGTGGTTAAACATGGTAAAGTCACAGCTGAATACCGTCCATGATACCACACCAGTCACAGCTGAATACCGTCCCATGATACCACACCAGTCACAGCTGAATACCGTCCATGATACCACACCAGTCACAGCTGAATACCGTCCATGATACCACACCAGTCACAGTGGTTAAACATGGTAAAGTCACAGCTGAATACCGTCCCATGATACCACACCAGTCACAGTGGTTAAACATGGTAAAGTCACAGCTGAATACCGTCCATGATACCACACCAGTCACAGTGGTTAAACATGGTAAAGTCACAGCTGAATACCGTCCATGATACCACACCAGTCACAGCTGAATACCGTCCATGATACCACACCAGTCACAGCTGAATACCTTCCCATGATACCACACCAGTCACAGTGGTTAACATGGCAAAGTCACAGCTGAATACCGTCCATGATACCACACCAGTCACAGCTGAATACCGTCCATGATACCACACCAGTCACAGCTGAATACCGTCCATGATACCACACCAGTCACAGCTGAATACCGTCCATGATACCACACCAGTCACAGTGGTTAAACATGGTAAAGTCACAGCTGAATACCGTCCATGATACCACACCAGTCACAGTGGTTAAACATGGTAAAGTCACAGCTGAATACCGTCCATGATACCACACCAGTCACAGCTGAATACCGTCCATGATACCACACCAGTCACAGCTGAATACCGTCCATGATACCACACCAGTCACAGCTGAATACCGTCCATGATACCACACCAGTCACAGATGAATACCTTCCCATGATACCACACCAGTCACAGTGGTTAACATGGCAAAGTCACAGCTGAATACCGTCCATGAAACCACACCAGTCACAGCTGAATACCGTCCATGATACCACACCAGTCACAGTGGTTAAACATGGTAAAGTCACAGCTGAATACCGTCCATGATACCACACCAGTCACAGCTGAATACCGTCCATGATACCACACCAGTCACAGCTGAATACCGTCCATGATACCACACCAGTCACAGCTGAATACCGTCCATGATACCACACCAGTCACAGCTGAATACCGTCCATGATACCACACCAGTCACAGCTGAATACCGTCCATGATACCACACCAGTCACAGCTGAATACCGTCCATGATACCACACCAGTCACAGCTGAATACCGTCCATGATACCACACCAGTCACAGCTGAATACCGTCCCATGATACCACACCAGTCACAGCTGAATACCGTCCATGATACCACACCAGTCACAGTCGTTAAACATGGTAAAGTCACAGCTGAATACCGTCCATGATACCACACCAGTCACAGCTGAATACCGTCCATGATACCACACCAGTCACAGCTGAATACCGTCCATGATACCACACCAGTCACAGTGGTTAAACATGGTAAAGTCACAGCTGAATACCGTCCATGATACCACACCAGTCACAGTGGTTAAACATGGTAAAGTCACAGCTGAATACCGTCCCATGATACCACACCAGTCACAGTGGTTAAACATGGTAAAGTCACAGCTGAATACCGTCCATGATACCACACCAGTCACAGTGGTTAAACATGGTAAAAGTCACAGCTGAATACCGTCCATGATACCACACCAGTCACAGTGGTTAAACATGGTAAAGTCACAGCTGAATACCGTCCATGATACCACACCAGTCACAGCTGAATACCGTCCATGATACCACACCAGTCACAGCTGAATACCGTCCCATGATACCACACCAGTCACAGTGGTTAAACATGGTATAGTCAAGAGTTGGTTCTGTATCGAACTGATGTCACCTGACCAACTCCTCCAGTCGAGGGGATCTCAATGACACTTCTAGAACCCCCGGGGAGGACGACGTTCTAGAACCGTTCTGTGTTCCAAGTGTTCTAGATCAAAATGCCACTGGAATGTTCTTAGAAGAAAAAAAAAGAATGTCTCGAGTCAGGAGAGGTCAGGGCTGAACTGAAGTCTTGACCCCCCCCCCCCCCGGTGAGGAGGTCATCCAATCCGTTGTCAGGACGGGGTTTTTGCTAGGGCCTCAGAGGATGGTGCAGAAGACGCTGCCGTTGTTATGGCAACCGCTCTCGACGGTGGCGGTGATCCTGGTAGTCATGGAGATGGCAAAGTGGGAGGGGTGACAGGAGGAGGAGGAGGAGGGGGGGAGGGATGAAGGACGGTCAGAGAGGGGGCGGGGGGGGAGGGTTCTCCAAAACCCAGGGAGGGGAAGAGGGACATGTCCTGGCAGGAGAGAGCAGAGAGGGAGGGGAGGAGTGGTGGAGGAAACGGGATGAAGGAAGAGGAGAAGGGATGAGGGGAGAAGAGAAGGGATGAGGGGAGAGGAGAAGGGATGAGGGGCGAGAGAAGAGAAGGGATGAGGGGAGAAGAGAAGGGATGAGGGGAGAAGAGAAGGGATGAGGGGAGAGGTAAAATGTATTAATCCATGAAATAGCTAGAAGGAAGTGTCCATACTTGGTGAGGAGCATTGCCAGTTGTTTGCGTAGCTACCTGTTGCTATGTTTCAGCACGCTGTTGTTGCGCAGCACGCTGCTGTCATTGCCATGGTGTATCGGGGGTTTGACGTTGCCGGGGTGACCCTGGAACACCAGGTTGTCGTGGACGACGGCCTTTGCCGGCCCCAGCACAGCGATGCCACACCCCTGCACCGGCTGGACTCGATTACGCAACACCTACACACACACACACACACACACACACACAAAGTATTTATTTGATTCCCAGGGTGATGGTGATTTGGTGTGTGTGTGTGTGTGTGTGTGTCTGAGCCCAGCTCACCTTGACGTCGGCGCTGTCCGTCAACCGTATCCCGTAACCACGGTTACCCACCACGTCGTTCTCCACCACCTGTCCATCGCCCCGGAAACTAACGCCATGGCCGCCGTTGTCATACACACCGTTGCCGCGGAGTTCCACCCGACACTCCCTCTCCACGGTGACGCCACCACGACCGTTTCCATGGACGCAGTTAGCAACTAGTCGAGTCAGCTGACCACTCTGTAGCACGGCAACACCGGCGCCACGGTTACCGTTCACTAGGTTAGCAACGACATTCAGTGGTTCACTGCTCTTCACGTACAGACCAACCGCTAGAGAGAGAGAGAGAGAGAGAGAGAGAGAGAGAGGAGAGAGTTGATACATTCCATATCCGTGATTTAACAACAATGCTGTATTGTTCTAGATAATTACTCTTCTCTCTGCTACACCAAGTCACTGGCTGTCATATCTTACAATGGTCGTCTCTATCATTGCTATGCGGAAGATGACACTCAACTACTTTTATCCTTCCCCCCCTTTCTGCACAACCCATGTGGGAAACGCATCTCTGCTGCCTGGCACAGATCAGCTGGGGCCACCAATCAAGCTCAACCTCGACAAGACAAGCTGAGGCTTTCTCCGAGGAAGCCTGCCCGCTCAAAGCCCTCTCCATCACGGTTGACAACGCACAGTGTCCGACCTCCAGAGAGCAACCTAGGCATGACCCTGACGACACACGGTGTTGTAGCTCTTTCTCTGTTGGAACCCCAACGTGGAACCACTGAAGTTCCTGCCCATCTTCCGAAAGCACCTGAAACCCTACCTCTTCAAACAGTCACAGACTATGATACCGTTCCCATGTACCACACCAGTCACAGTGTGAATTACCGTCATGATACCCCACAGTACACAGTGGTTAAAACATGGTAAAGTCAAAGTTGGTTCTGTATCGACACTGATTGTCACCTGACCAGACTCCAGTCGAGGGGATCTCACAGATCAATGACACTTCTTAAAACCCCGGGGGAGGCGGCGGTTATAGAAAAAACCCCTGTTCTGTGTTCCAGTGTTCAGATCAAAAATGCCACAGGAATGTTCTTAGAAAAAAATAAAGGCATGTTCTCGAGTTCAGGAGGAGGTCAGGGCTGAACTGCAACTCTTGACCCCGCCCCCCCCCCGGCTGAGGAGGACATCCAACAGTTGTCAGACGGGTTTGGCAGGGCCTCAGAGGATGGTGCAGAGACGCTGCCGTTTTTATGGCAACCGCTCTAGCGGTGGCGGTGTCCGGTCGCATGCCTGATGGCAAAGTGGGAGGGGTGACAGAGGAGGAGGAGGAGGTGGGGGAGGAGGGATGAAGGCCGGTCAGAGAGGGGCGGGGGGGAGGGTTTTCTCCAAAACCCAGGGAGGGAAGAGGGACATGTCATGGCAGGAGGAGACAGCAGAGGGCGGGGGGGATGGTAGAGGGAGGGGGATGAAGAAGAGGAGAGAAGAGGAGAGGAAGAAGGGATGCGGGGAGAGGAGAAGGGATGCGAGGAGGGAAGGGATGAGGGGAGAGGAGAAGGGATGAGGAAGAGGAGAGGGGATGAGGGGAGAGGAGAGGAGAAGGGATGAGGAGAGAAGGGATGAGGAGGGGAGAAGGGATGAGGAGAAGAGAAGGGATGAGGGAGAAGAGAAGGGATGAGGGGGAGAAGGGATGAGGGAGAGGAAGAAGGGATGAAGGGGACGGGAGAAGAGAAGGGCTGAGGGGAGAAGAGAAGGGATGGAAAGGGATGAGGGGGGGAGAGGAGAAGGGATGAGGGAGAAGAGAAGGGATGAGGGGAGAAGAGAAGGATGAGGGGAGAAGACGAAGGATGAGGAGAAGGGATGAGGGAGAAGAAGAGAAGGGATGGAGGAGAGGAGAGATAGGGATGAGAGGAGAGGAGAAAAAGAAAGGAGATGAGGGGAGAAGAGAAGGGATGAGGGAAGGGATGAGGGAGAGGAGAAGGGAATGATGAGGGGAGGGATGAGGGAGAGAGAGGAGAATGAGAAGGGAGTAGGGATGAGATGAGGGGGAGAGGAGGAAGGATGAGGGGAGAAGAGAAGGGGATGAGGGGAGAAGGAGAAGGGATGAGGGGAGAGGAGAAGAGAAGGGATGAGGGGGGGGGATGAGGGTGAGAGGAGAAGGGATGAGATGAGGGAGAAGAGAAGGGATGAGGGGAGGGGATGAGGGGGAGAGAGAAGAAGGGATGAGGGAGAGAGAAGGGATGAGGGGAAGAAGAGAAGGATGAGGGAGAGGTAAAATGTATTAACCATGAAATAGCTGAGGAACGTGTCCAAACTTGGTGAGGAGAATTGAAAGTTGTTGACATAGCTACCTTTTGATCGTTTCAGCACGGCTGTTGTTGCGCAGCCACGCTGCTGTCACTGCCATGGTGTATCGGGGGTTTGACGTTGCCCGGGGTGGACTTGGAACACCCCAGGTTGTCGTGGACGACGGCCTTTCGCCGGCCCCAGCACAGCGATCCACACCCCTTGACCGGTGGAATCGATTACGCAAAAGACCTACACACACACACACACAACAACACACACACACACAAAGTAAAGTGTTCTTGATTCCAGGCGTGTGGTGATTTGGTGTGTTGGTGTGTGTGGGTGTGTGTGTTGTGTGTCTGAGCCCAGCTCACCCTAGACGTGGCGCTGTCCGTCAACCCTATCCCATAACCACGGTCGGTACCCACCACGTCGTTCTCCACCACCTGTCTATCCGCCCGGAAAACTAAACGCATGGACGCTGTTGTCATACACACCGTTGCCGCGGAGTTCCACACACACTCCCTTCCACGGTGACGCCACCACACCGTTTCCATGACGCAGTTAGCAACATAGTCGAGTCAGTGACCATCGGTAGAACGGCAACAAAGGCGCCACGGTTACCGTTCACGAGGTTAGCAACGACATTCAGTGGTCCTGCTCTTCACGTACCAAACCAAACCGCTTAGACAGAGATGAGACGGAGACAGAGAGACAGAGGGCAGAGAGAGAGAGCGAGAGGAGGGAGAGAGAGAGAGAGAGAGAGAGACAGACCAGAGAAGAGAGAGAGACAGAGAGACAGAGAGAGACAGAGACCAGAGAGAGAGAGAGACAGAGAGAGACGAGGAGAGAGGAGGAAGAAGAGAGGGACAGAGAGAAAGGAGGACAGAGAGAGAGAGAGAGAGAGAGAGTTTGCTACATTCCATATCAGTGTTTAACAACATGCTGTCATTGTTCTAGATCTCCTCTCCTCTTTCTCTGCACACCAAAGTCACTCGGCTCCGTCCGATCCTCACATGGTTCTCTATCAGTGCTATGAGATGGGGACACTCAACTACTTTTTCCTTTTTTCCCCCCCTCCCCCCATTTCTGACACCCAGTGTGGCCGACACGCACTCCTCTGCGTGCCTGGCAGACTCGGCTGGCCCACCACCTCAAGCTTCACCTCGACAAGACAGCCGAGGCTGCTTGCTCTTCCTCCCGAGGAAAGGCTCCTGCACGTCAAAGGCCTCTACAGTCACGGTATGACAACGCCACAGTGTCGCCCTCCCAGAGAACCTTGGCCTGACACTGGACAACACCCGGTGTTGTAGCTCTTCTCTGTTCTGGAACCCCAGCGGTGGAACCAGCTGAAGTTCCTGCCCATCTTCCGAAAGCACCTGAAACCCCACCTCTTCAAAGAGAATCTTAAATAATCCCCCTCCTCCTCCTAGCTCTACAGTGTCTCTCCTCCATTGTGGCTCTACAGTGTCCCTCCTCCATGTGAGCTCTACAGTGACTATCTCATCCAGTGGCTCCTACAGTTGTTCCATCCGCCTTGTGGCCTTACAGTGTCTCTCTACATTTGTGGCTCTACAGTGTCCCTCCTCCCTTGTGGCTTTACAGTGTCCCTCCTCCATTGTGGCTCTACAGTGTATCTCCTCCATTGTGGCTCTACAGTGTCTCTCCTCCATTGTGGCTCTACAGTGTCCCTCCTCCATTGTGGCTCTACAGTGTCCCTCCTCCATTGTGGCTCTACAGGCATCTCCTCCATTGTGGCTCTACAATGTCTCTCCTCCATTGTGGTCTACAGGGTCCCTACTCAATTGTGGCTTACAGTGTCCCTCCTCCCATTGGGGTCTGACAGTGTCTCTCCTCCATTGTGGCTCTACAGTCTCTCCTCCATTGTGGCTCTACAGTTGTCCCTCTCCATTGGGTCTACAGTGTATCTCCTCCATGGTGGCTCACAGTGCTCTCCTACATTGTGGCTATACAAATGTCTCTCTACATTGTGGCTCTACGTTGTCCCTCATCCATGTGGTCTACAGGCATTCTCCTCCATTGTGGCATCTCAATGTCTCTCATCCATTGGGGCTCTACAGTGTCCATCCTCAATTGTGCCTCTACAGCTGTCCCTCCTCCATTGTGGCTTCTACAGGGTACTCCTCCATGTGGCTATACAGTGTCCCTCTCCATGGGGGCTCTACGTGTCCCTCCTCCATTTGTGGCCTCTACAGGTCACTCCTCCATTGTGGACTACAGTGCATCTCCTCCATTGTGCTCTACAATTGTCTCTCCTCCATTGTGTCACAGTGTCCCCTCCATTGTGGATCTACAGTGTCCCTCCTCCCATTTGTGGGCTATACAGTGTTCTCTCCTCCATTGTGGCTCCTACAGTGTCCCTACTCCATGTGGACTTTACATGTCCCTCCTCCATTGTGGCTCTACAGTGTATCTCTCCATGTGGCTCTACAGTTGTCCCTCCTCCATTTGTGGCTCTACAGTGTCTCTCCTCCAATTGGTGGCCTCTACAGTGCATTGCCTCCATGGTGGCTCTTACAGTGTCCCTCCTCCATTGTGGCTCACAGTGTCATCTCCGCCAGTGTGGGCTCGACAGTGTAGCATCCTCCATGTGGCTCTACATTGTAAACTCATTGTGGCTCTTACGGTCCCTCCTCAATTGGGCTCTAATTGTCTAACATCCATTGTGGTATACAGTGTCCCTCTCAATTGTGGCCTACAGTGCTCTCCTACCATGGTGGCTCTACATGTTCTAAAATCCATTTGGGATTCTACAGTGTCCCTCCTCCATGTGGCTCTACATGGTCTAACATCCATTTGGGCTCTACAGTTGTCATCCTCCATTGTGGCTCTACAGTGTCTCTCCTCCATTGGGCTGCACTCTACAGTGTATCTCCTAATTGTGGGATTACATGTCTAACATACCTTGTGGCTCCTCTACAGTGTCCCTCCTCCATGTGGCTCTACAGGTCTACCGTGATCTCATCCATTGTGGCTCTACAGTTGTCTACAGTGTATCTCCCTCCTTGTGGCTTACAGTGTCTCTCCTCCATTGTGGCTCTAATGTCTAACATCCATTGTGGCTCTACAGTGTCTACAGTGGGTGTGTTCGTATAGTCACTCTGGGGTCCAGTGGTGTGATCTGGCGTTCGTAAAATTCACAGCGTTGTCAGATAGCTAAAGGCTAGCGTGCTAGCTACTTCAGACACAACTGAGAGAAACAGCTCACTCCTGACACTTTACGCGCACTAGCCAGAGCTGGTTAGCGTTTTCATGTTATCCAGAGCATTGGTGACTACTGTGCTGCTGGCAACAATTAATTATGTTTTTTTGCCGAACGTTTATGACACCGGCCATATTCAACGGGGTGGTGTTGAGCATTTGTAAATTCAGCGTTATCTGCACTCTGGAACGAGAGGGCTCTGAAACGGGTAGATTGCCCCGAGTGAATTCGAAACGCACCCAGGTCTCACCTCCATTGTGGCTCTACAGGTCTACAGTCTCTCCTCCATTGTGGCTCTACAGTGTCTACAGTCTCTCCTCCATTGCGGCTCTACAGTGTCTACAGTCTCTCCTCCATTGCGGCTCTACAGTGTCTACAGTCTCACCTCCATTGCGGCTCTACAGTGTCTACAGTCTCTCCTCCATTGCGGCTCTACAGTGTCCTCTACAGTCTCACCTCCATTGTGGCTCTACAGTGTCTACAGTCTCTCCTCCATTGCGGATCCAACAGTGGTCTACGCTCACCCTCCATTGCGGCTCTACAGTGTCTACAGTCTCTCCTCCATTGTGGCTCTACAGTCTCACCTCCATTGCGGCTCTACAGTGTCTACAGTCTCACCTCCATTGCGGCTCTACCCAGTGTCTACAGTCTCCAACTACAGTGTGGCTCTACCGGGTGACAGTCTATCCGCAATGTTGGATCTACAGGTCCTCACCTCCATTGCGGCTCTACAGTGTCTACAGTCTCACCTCCATTGTGGCTCTACAGTGTCTACAGTCTCACCTCCATTGTGGCTCTTACAGTCTCACCTCCATTGCGGCTCTACAGTCTCACCTCCATTGCGGCTCTACAGTCTCACCTCCATTGCGGCTAATGCAGTTTCCCTCCACCAGAGCCGTGCTGATGGAGCGCCGGGCGGAGAGGCGTTCGTCCTCGCTGTCAAGGTCACCTTCCCACGCCAGCAGCTCTCCTTCCTCATGGAAGTTCTCCTGTCCTCCTCCTCTTCCTCTTCCCTCCTGCCCCACTTCCCCGGTCCCGCCCCCATCGGGGTCCTTCCGGCAGAACACGGCCAGCCCGTACATGCGGTTATGGGTAATGTAGTTTCCCAACAGCTGAGGGAGGCTGGAGGACATCACCCACACACCACAGCCCTTGTTGCCTAGGAGATGAAGAGATGAGAGGAGAGGAGAGGAGAAGTGACGTCAGCGAACAGGAAGTGTGTGTGTTGTGTGTTACTCACTGTAGATGTGGTTCCCTTCTATGAGCCCCCGGCCTCTCTCCCCCACCACCACTCCGTCAGAGTAGCCATTACAGATGTAGTTGTTCCTGAGGACCGGGTCGCCCCCCCGCCTGATGTCTGCACCCCCCCACTGGTTCTCCCTGATCACATTCTCTGGAGTGAGGCAGGGGAGGGAAGATGGGGGGGTGCTCGGGGGCGGAGGAGGGAGGGAGGTACGCGGAGAGGAGGCAGGGGGGGGGGGAGGGAGGGGACGATGGCATTCAAGGTGCATCGTTTTAATAATGGTCACTAATATACATTTTCATCATAAGTAATTTTCACATTTCAGTAAAAAGATGCTGTGCAGGTTGTGTGTGTGTTAGGGAGGGAGGGAGGGAGGGAGAGTTCAGTAAAGACGCTGTGCAGGTTGTGTGTGTGTTGGGAGGGAGGGAGGGGGAGGGAGAGTTCAGTAAAGATGCTGTGCAGGTTGTGTGTGTGTAGTAAGTACCGACTATCACCCCTATGCAGGGGGGGGAGGGGGGGGGAGGGAGGGAGGGGGAGGGAGGGAGAGTTCAGTCAAGACGTTGTTGAGGTTGTGTGTGTGTTAGGGAGGGAGGGGGAGGGGAGGGAGGGAGGGTGGGTGGTGGAGGGGAGGGGGGGAGGGAGGGAGAGAACGGAGGGAGAGTTCAGTGTAGTAAAGGGCTGTGCAGGTTGGTGTGTTAGTAAGTACCGGACTATAACCCTCGCGGGGGGGAGGGGGGGGGGGGGAAGGGAGGGAGGGGAGGAGAGAGGTAGTGTTCAGTAAAGATGCTGTGCAGGTTGTGTGTGTTAGTAAGTACCGACTATCACCCCTCTGCGGTTCTCATTCACAGCTATCCCTGCTGCCTGACCCTGGAAGATATGGTTACCACGGAGGAGAGGGGGGGAGGGAGGAGAGGGGAGGGGAGGGAGGGAGGGAGGGGAGGAGGGGAGAGGGAGGGAGGGGGGAGGGAGGGGTGGAGTGGAGGGAGAGAGGGAGGGAGGGAGGGGAGGAGGGAGAGAGGGAGGGAGGGAGAGAGAGAGAGGGAGGGAGAGGGAGGGAGGGGTGGTATGGTAGGGTAGGGGGAGGGGCGTGAGTTGGAGGGGGAGAGGACTGAGGGGGGGGTGGTGGTGAGGAGAGGGGGTGGTGGAGAGGGGGAATGAAGTGGGGGGGGAGAGGGGGACAGTGGAGGGACAGAGAGGGGGGGGGTGGAGGGGAGAGAGGGGATAGGTGGAGGGTGAGTTGGAGGGGGGAGCAGAGAGCGGGTGAGTTGGAGAGGGGGGTGGAGGGTGAGAGGGGGAGGTGGAGGGTGAGAGGGGTGGGGGAGGGACGGAGGAACGGACGGAGAGAGAGATGTCAAATAAATGTATAATATCTAGATATAGTGTTAAATGTCTCCAGACAGAACACTGCCATCATCATGTTGAAGTGGAAAAACCACAACACTTCAGACTGTGTCTCAAATGTCTTCCTAGTATCACTGAGCCCTGGTCAAAAGACCCCTCCTACCTGACTACAGGGTTCCTGTTGAACAGGATGTAGACTCCTCCCCCCCTACCGACGAAAGGGGTTCCCGTTTGAACGGTGTAGACTCCTCCCCCTCCTACCTGACTACAGGGTTCCTGTTGAACAGGATGTAGACTCCTCCCCCTCCTACCTGACTACAGGGTTCCTGTTGAACAGGATGTAGACTCCTCCCCCTCCTACCTGACTACAGGGTTCCCGTTGAACAGGATGTAGACTCCCCCCCCCCCCCCCCTTTTGACACAGGGTTCGTTGAACAGGAGTAGATCTCCCCTCTACTGACACAGGTTCCTTTGAACAGGAGGTGACCCCTCCCCTCCTACCGATTACAGGGTTGGTTGACAGTGTAGCTCCCCCCCTCCAAACCCTAAATACAGGGTTCTGTGAACAGATGTGACTCCTCCCCCCCCTACCTGCTACGGGGTTTCCCCGTTGAAAAAGGATGTAGGACTCCTCCCCCTCCTCCCTGACTACAGGGTTCCGTTGAAAGGATGTAGACTCCCGCCCTTGTTGTTATAGATCTGGTTGCTACGGATGGAACCCCTCCCGTTGCCAAGGACCACGATGCCGGAACGCCAAAACCGCTTTGTTTACCTGATTATACGAAGAGTAAAATGGACGGGGAAAGAGGGAGAGGAGAGAGAGGAGAGCAGAGACGAGGAGGAGAGGAGAAGAGAGGAGAGGAGAGAACGAGAGAGAGAGAGAATAGGAGAGAGGAGAGACTGGAGGAGAGAGAGAGAGAGGAGAGAGAGAGAGAGAGAGAGAGAGAGAGAGAGAGAGAGAAAGTTTGATCAGTTGTTATTTTAGATCACCATGTCCCTCTAACTTCTACCAGATGAAAGACATATGATTTGACACCCATTTGACAAGCTGCTGTGTACTAGAGAGGAAACAGATATAATGACCATCAGGGATGTGAAACCCACAGGATAGATATATAGACCATCAGGGATGTGAAACCCCACAGGATAGATAGACCATCAGGGATGTGAAACCCACAGGATAGATATATAGACCATCAGGGATGTGAAACCCACAGGATAGATAGACCATCAGGGATGTGAAACCCACAGGATAGATATATAGACATCAGGGATGTGAAACCCACAGGATAGATATATAGACCATCAGGGATGTGAAACCCACAGGATAGATATATAGACCATCAGGGATGTGAAACCCACAGGATAGATATATAGACCATCAGGGATGTGAAACCCACAGGATAGATATATAGACATCAGGGATGTGAAACCCACAGGATAGATATATAGACCATCAGGGATGTGAAACCCACTGAACGTTGCAGATAGAAACAGAATGAACTAGAGCTACCAGGATGATGGGGTCCGCCCCCTTGCGGATGTCAAGCCCCGCCTCCCCGTTGGAGTGGATGTTGTTGTCAGCGATCAGACCCTGAGCCGACAGGCGCAGGAACACCCCCGACGCACGACACTCACACACCTCGTTACGGAGCATCACCATCTGGAACACAAATCATCTTTGATCAACATTACTATCTAAAAACACATCCAGTTAACAGGCAGGACATATATCACTCAACCCGACCCATCGATCAACCAACCGACCGATCAGATCGGGCAACCCTGTCTGGTTACCGTGGTGTTCTGGACGCAGCGCACCGCATAGGTCAGCCCCCGGAACACGTTTCCTTCCAGCCGGGCGTTTCCGTGGTTACAAACGTGCACGCCGCCCTTCCCGTCCCGGAACAGGCAGCGCCTCAGCACGCAACCCTGCACTGTCTCGACCAGCGCTCTGGGCTCCGGGGTCGTGTTGCAGCTCCTCGGTCAGGGTTCGGATGTCAGGGGTCAGCGGGGGGAGAGTCGGGGGAGGAGGGGGGGTGGCTGTCGTCCTGGTTGGGTCTGAGGAGATGAGAGAGGCTGTGGTGACTGTGAGCCAGTCTGTAGTTTAGACTTTGTTGCCTTGTCCTGAACCTTGCTCTCCTCTTTCCTCCTCTTCCTCCTCCTCCTCCTCGCTAGGAGCGCTGTCGCTCCAGCCGTCCTCAATCACCGTATCCTGACACACTCCTTCCTCCCCCCCTCCTCCTCCTCTCCTCCTCCTCCTCTCCGTTTCTCCTTTCCTCCAGTCCTCCAGGGTGACGGTAACCCCAGGGGGCTGTGTGGCTCCAGAATGCCCGCCCAGGGTGTCTCCAGCTGGGCTACCACTCCCAGGCGAGGCCCAGGATGTGGAGATTCGGGCCAGAGCGGCCAGATGTTTACAGGCCCAGTTCCGCTCTGTCACTGGAGCGCCCTCAACCGTCACGGACGCCGAATCACTTCCTGAGAAATCACAGCTATCCAATAGGCTGAGGGCCACGCCCAGGAAGTGGGTGGAGCTTCCCTGTGAGAATGAGCAGAAGCGGGCGTGGCAGGTTCCTGGCCCTCGGACCTGCAGCTGAGCTCCCTCGAAATTACAGTTGTCCAACTGGACATGACCTACGTCGGGGGGAAAGGGAATGGAGAG